TTCTTATTCCCTTTTATTATTGTTATTTTTATATATACAGCAGTTTCGAGAGCGAATGAACTATTGGGCTCATGCTGATAAATAATACATTTCTCTGCTTTTGACAGGATATGGTATTGGGCTCAAACAGAACTCCCCTCTGACTTCAAATATCTCAGAGTTGGTCAGTCAGTACAAATCTGATGGATTTATGGACATGCTGCATGATAAGTGGTACAAGGTGGTGCCGTGCGGTAAAAGAAGCTTTGCAGTCACTGAGGTAAGTCATGATACTGCAGAAATCCAGAGTTTATTTCTTGGAATTCAGACTTTTTTCCCCCTCCTCAACACAGTGTTGAGTTTACTTCCAATAACTCTTTTTTTTTTTTAGCTACAGTGACGTTTTTACTTACAGTCGCGTGTCTGTCTTGCAATCGTGAGTTACAACTCACAGTTATGAGTTCATATCTCCTAACTTTGATTAGTTTTAATCATCAATTTCATTTATGTTAAAAGTCTTGATACCAATTTTCTCTAATAACTAGTCACTTATTACCTGCTTATTATTAATGTATTAGCTGTTTATTAATACCTATAAAGTGCATATTCTACATTAATAATTCTATCCAATACTTAAACCCAACTAGTACCTAAATTACTAGTAAAAGTGTAACTCTGCCGGTCCTACACCACCCAACCCGCTCTGTGCCGGGATCAAACCGGCGACCTTCCGCATGGGAGTCGGTTGATCTAAAGCCTGGTTTATACTTCTGCATCAAGTGATTGGTGTGACCCACGGCGCATGCAACGCGTGTAGCTGTGCATTTATACTTCTGCGCGCTGTTTCTGTTGTTCTGCAATAACACTTCCGAAACCCTAGTTGGCAGTGAGGTGTAAATGTTCCTCTGTGTTGAGTTTCTTCGCTGGTGTTTTGTTTTTCCTGAATGCTTCCTTAATGTACAAGAGGTTCAAACTTGCTCATTTTGAGGCAGGAACCATGCGACGTGCAACAACTTTAACCATGAGGTAAACACAAAACAAAACTTTCCATCTGGAGCTCCTTCACGGGACTCCACACTTGTAAACAATCGCTCCATCAGGCTCGAGCAACTCTTGGTCCAGCCCAGACTCGTCAGCGCTACCAAGCCGACCAATCACAGAGCTTGCGCTACGCGTTGTTGCGACTTGTAGTTACATTTTTTGAGAGTTGCGCGTCAGCGATGCCGATGGACATGGCGTAGGGCTATGCGTCAACGCGTAGGCTGTGCGGTAGCATAGGCGTGCTTTTGACTCAGAAGTATAATTCCGCCTTAACAAGAAGGCTAAAGACCATGGCCTCTAGCGTCTGTTGCTAGATCACCTTTAGAGATCAGAGAAGTGAGGTTTACCTGCACAGCACCTACTGGCTGGCTTCTGTTACAAAAGCACCAACTTTATTGAGCTAAAAGACTTGCTTTCAATGCTTTGTTAATAGCACAATTGTATCTTAATGGTACCGTGAAGTGCTTTGAAATTAGCTTTTTTTTTATTCGATGTTTGATCATCAACCAAAAAATGAAGAGAGGGTGGCACAGAGTAGCTCTGCCCCTTCTTTAAATACAGTCAATAGTGTTTTGTTTTTATCACAGTTCTGCCAGTGAGAGTAGTTGAGCTCAAGCTTATCACATAAAAAGCAAATGAGAAGCGTCTTGAAAGGGGGCGGGGCATTTCAAACAGCTACATGGTAGTTGTAGTTCATGTTGTGGCAAATGTGTACTTCCAACACAATTTTACTGCAATTCATAAGTTTTTGACTTAGTGGCTAATTCGTACAATTTGGGATGCTTTGCTCATCCTCCAATGATGCTTGGGTCTAGGGTTGGGTGCCATGCCTCCTTTTTAAAATCATACAATTTCGTATGGCTGAATTTGTACAAATTTTATTGAATTAGCTACTAACCTGACAAATCTGTCAACCTACAATAGTTATGTTACGTAGTTATCCAGGGATCTACATAGGCTAGGTCGCTGGTGATCGTGCCAATTGCGATTATTCATTGATTTTATACTTCACTTATATTTTTTATATTTTATATTTTTTTAATTTTTACATTCAAATAGCGCTTTTCTGGACACTCAAAAGTGCTTTAAACACTGGGGGGAATCTCTTCATTCACCACCGGTGTGCAGCATCCACCGGGATGACGCGACAGCAGCCATACTGCACCAGACCGCACACCACACACCAGCTGATTGGTGGAGAGGAGACAGAGTGATGAAGCAAATAATGATATCGTTAATTAGATGGTTAGGAGGCCATGATGGACAGAGGCCAGTGGGCAGATTTAGCCAGGTTGTCGGGGTTAAATCCCTCCTCTTTTTCGAAGGACATCCTGGGATTTTTAACGACCACAGAGAGTCAGAGCCTTAGTTTAACATGTCATCCGAAAGTGCTCACTGAGCAGTATAGAGTCCCCATCATTATACTGAGGTTTTAGGACCCACACAAACCACAAGTTGGGCGCCCCCTGCTGGCCTCACTAACAGCAACCTAGCTTTCCCATGTGGTCTCCCATCCAGGTACTGACCAGGCGCAGCCCTGCTTAGCTTCAGCGAGGGACCATGTGAGAGTTGGTGGGGCTAGAGCTAGCTGAATCTTCAACTCGAACCATCATCTGATTCAAATGATTCAAGAGCCTGGCTGAGGAGGAGTATTTTGTAAAGGATAATGACAGATTTTTTTCCCCAACTGCTTTTAGGAAAACTCTCATGATACTTTAGTCTTTGTTTGTTTTTACATTAAAATTGCTATCTACTTAAGCTTTTCGAAATACTTTCAGTCTCATTTGTCACTTTGGACAATAGCCTAAATAATAATCAAAGTTCTACGTGAGGGAGGCTAAATACTGACCACATTTTATTCACAATGAACCATCGCTCTCTTCTAAACTCGACTTTCTGTTGTCACTGGCAGACTTTACAGATGGGGATAAAGCACTTCTCAGGGTTATTTGTCATGCTATGCGTTGGAGTGGCCCTGTCTCTCCTCACCACCCTGGGTGAACACATCGTCCATCGCTGGGTGATTCCCAGAATGCAGGAGTCAACAGAGCATAAGTACTGGCTCCACACCAGTCAAGTAAGTTCACTCCTTGCGTTTTATTGCGCATAATTACATGTCATCTCGGCGACACGTTGTAACACTGAGGGAAAACATGCTTTGCTTATTATTCACTTTGCAATTCGCAGTGCTTGGCTTTAATAACGCCTAATTTAATTGTTTTCCAGAGATTACATCGAGCACTTAATCCGACATTCAAAGAAGACAAATTGCAGACAGTTGCAAAACCGGAGAAAAGGTAAACCACTTTCATATCAAAATACATTCAGGCAACCCTGAATTAATGTTCTGTGCTGTTTTGTTTATAGAAATGACATTTAATTAGTTTGATCTTTTGACATCATCTTGTTTTACAAGAGGAAATTTCCTCTTACAGGATTTAATAGGATTTCAGTTTTTGCACTTTTGTTGGTCTTAAGTTCTACAATTAAATATTTTAATGATATATTCTACAAAGGAATAAACACATCTGACTGAATAGTATGCGAGAAATAGTTGATGATAGGTGGTTGAATTATTATTATTACTAATAATTTAACAGATCAAAGTCAATTATTTTGCTTCTACTGTTACTTAAAGAGCCCCTATTATACATATATATATATATATATATGTGTGTGTGTGTGTGTATATATATATATATATATATATATATATATATATATATATATATATATATATATATATATATATATAAAACAGTTCTGTCTGGATCTTGAATCTGATTGGCAGATAGCCGTGATATATTTAAGTAATATCAGCACTCGTGCAGCCTCTTTACCCTTTGTGTATTACTCCGCCCACATACAGCCAGCAACAAACAGACACTACAGTTTGACAAATATTACTTATGTTAGACAACTAAATAAACTTGAGACTTTTTTTAGTCAAGAATGTAGTTGTTTAGATTGCAACTATGCAGTTTATTTGCAAGAATAATGCCTATTTTAAAATCTTTACAATTTCTGAGAGACAGCTCGTCGGCAACAGTTGACGTTTTCTATCCACAAGATGGTGAAAAAACCGCATAATAAGCCCTTACGCTTAGAAGATATAACAGTCTGATTTCTAACTACAGCAGATCAAATCAATATTAAACTGGTAAGCACACCTGCAAACATTCCCGTTTTTCATGGGAGTATCCCGCATTTCAGACCAGTCTCCCGCAAATATCCCGATTTTATTTCTTTCTAAAACTCCCGTAATGTCACCCGCCCCCCTCTTTGGTACAGTCTGTAAACTAAACACCCCTGGGTCGCCAACTTTGTTACAGTATGTATGTATATATATATATATATATATATATATATATATATATATATATATATATATATATATATATATATATATATA